GCTCGGGTCCGTCCGGCTCCGCCCTCCCTTGGGAGGGTCCGCTTGGGCTCCGCGCGCTCAGCCCTCAGGCTGCTGCTCCTGTCCTCCCAGTAGGCTGCGTGCGCGCGCGCGCGCGCAAACGTGTCGTGTGAGTGCGCGCGAATGCATGTGCGTGCATTGTACGTGTATGTGTGCACGTGTCGTCAGTGTGTGTGCGTGCATTGCGTGTGTGGGAACGCGTCGTGTATGTGCATGTGCACGCACATGCGTGTGTACGTGTGTACACGTGCCATGTGTGCGTGTGTGCAAGTGTGCACGCGCGTGCGTGTATGTGTACATGCGTATGCGCGAGTGTGCGCACGTGTGTGCATTGCGTGTGTGCGAACGTGTCGTGTGTGTACGTGCATGTGTGCACACGTGTGTATGTGTGTACACGTGCCATGTGTGCGTGTATGTGTAGGCACGTGAGTGGGTGTGCATGCAAACGTGTCGTGTGTATGTGCATGTGCGTACATATGCGTATATATGTACACGTGCCATGTGTGTGCACGCATGTGTGAAAGTGTGCGTGCGTGTATGTGTACATGGGTACGTGCATGAGTGTGTGTGTGTGCAAGTGTCGAGTGTGTGCACATGCATGTGGGCGTGCATAAGTGTACACGTGTCGTGTGTGCGTGCACATACGTGTATGTGTATGTGTGCACACACGCGTGTGTATGCGTGCGTGCCTGTGCATGCATGTGTGCGCTTGTCTGCGTGTGCGTGCACGTGTGTGTCTGCACATGTTGTGTGTACAGCGCTGCCTTCCTCGCCAGGAGGAACCGCCGGGAACAGCTCCCACAGAGGACCGGGTGAGCCCGACCACAGCAGGGCTCCCGTCAGTGGCCAGGCGGGAGAGGCCCATGCGCCAAACCACTGACCCCAAGAGACCGGAGGGAGGGCAGAGGCCTGGGCCCCAAAGCCCACTGAGAGCCCGGCCAGCGCACCCTGAGCAGGGAGCCTTGGAGCCCGGCAGGGGGACACCGAGGCCTAGACCCCGGCACAGGGGCAGACGCAGATTGCGCATTTAGTAGGCATTCGTCCTTTTCTCACTCGGAAACACACGGTGCTTCCTGTGACCTGGTGCTGTACGTGTTATTCCCCATTTAGAGACAAAATCACGGACCTTCAGGAAAATAAAGTACCTGGGACCATTCGGCCAGCAAGTGGCAGAGAGGTGATTAAGAAAAGTCTGTGTGGAAGGTGGGTGTGGTGGCTCACCCAGCACTGCAGAGGCTGAGGCAGGAGGACCGCTGAGTTCGAGGTGGGCCTGAACTGCATACAGCAACCCTGTCTCAACAAAGAAAAGAGAAAGTCTATGCGTGGTTGGAGCCTACTAGCTTCTCTGCAGGCAGGAGGGCGGGGCTGTGGGGTGGGCCTGGGTGACCTAAACCAGCATCTGCTCGGTCGCCGGACCTAGGACAGCCAGATTCGGGTTGGGAGCTGCTCCTGCAGCCCCGTGTGCACCTCCTTCCTCTCTGAGCTTTGGTTTTCTCCCTAAGAACCGGCGCTAACAAGAGCTGCTTTCCAGGGGTATTTAGTGGCCACAGTGATTTGCTGCAGAGCCCGGGAGAGACACGCTTCTCTTTTCTCCCGTTTTCCTTCTTTCCGCTTGAGGATCCCCTTCTCTCTTGCTCCACCCCGCGACTGCCTGGAGGCGGTGTGGGGCGTCTGGGCGCCGAGCGGCTCGGTCCAGGCCGGAGCAGAGCCCCTGTCCCTGGCTGGCCGCGTACCACGGTCCGGTGGCCCTTTTGCTGGGGTCCTGGCCTGGACTCTCACTTGACTCTTGGGGACCCGTGCTCGGTCCCTTTTGGAAATCACCAGGGCTGCTCCTGAAGCGCAGTCAGAAGACCCGGGCCTGGCTGAGCCGGGGGAGTCAGGACGGTCTCCGTGTACCCAGGCCCTCGGGCCCGGCGGGGACACAGACTTGCCCTGCGCTCTGTCTCTGAAGGCGCCCACGGCCCTGACTGGGGAATGGGGGGCGCGCGTAGGTGAGGGGACCCAGAAGCCGGCCGTGGTGCAGCAGTCGGGCCGCGGGAAGGGAAGTGCGTGTCATCGTCTTGCAGTTCCTCAAGGAAAACATTAAACTGGTATAGAAATGGTAACGCAGCTAACCGTGGCACGGCAGCTGTGAATGCACATGATGTGCACATGTTTAAGCAAACCAAGTTATTAAAGCCGATCCTAGATTGTGCAGGAGTGAGATAAAACTAGGCACAAAACTGAAAAAACTCTTTAAGGGTCAGCCTCTCTCCGATACCAAACCCCACGGCTTTGCGAGGGGCAGCTGAGGAAAACATAAAACACCCAAGTCGCTCTAACTGTGCTGTAGTGCAGTGTACAGAAAGAGGGAAACCACAACGTTATTTTTATAAAGTCAGAAAAATAAAACTGAGAAACGACACAGCGTAATGAAAAGGAAGCTGTAGACCAGTGTGATGCACTGAGGCCAGTACCCTTGCTCACATGAAGAGCATGTCGGTGAGGCCGGCCCAGCAAGGCATCCAAAGACCAGCGCAACGGCCAAGCGCAGGGCGTATTCACACGCAAGCTCAGTGGTAGGCGCTGATGAATGTAACTCAGGATCTTAGAAAGGGAAAGGAAAAACCACGTGATCTTCTACGGCTGCTACGACAGTGTGATGTTTTGTCACATCGGTGATCGAATGCGCTCAGAGGGCTGGTTACTCCGTGTGATGAGTCTCAGTTCGTGACCCTGATTCTTTCCACCGCTCTGGTTGCAAGGCAGGATGCACAAGAACCACATCGAGGTCAGTGTTGACCTTATGGGGAAATTCGATTCGGTTCTCGTCCGGTTCAGTCTGCGAGCAGAATCGTGGAGAGCAGTGAGATCCTGAACTGAGGTATCAGTGTCTTCTATCTGGCACTCTGTCGGTCATCAAGACCGCAGTCCTCCTGAAGAAGCATTCCTGTCAGAAACAAGAGCAAGACAGGGTGCACAGTATCAATATTCTAGAATTAAACTGGGTGTGGTGATGCACAGCTATAATCCCAGCACTCAGGAGGCTGAGGCAGAAGGATCGCTATGAGTTTGAGGCCAGCCTTGGCTACATAGTGAGTTCAAAGCCAGTCTGGACTA